ATTGTGTTTGGAACATTTAGTGAAATGAACTTGTTGTGTGTGAAGGAAAAGGTGAAGATGATGATGGAAGAGGAGCACACTTTAGAGAGCACGATGGGCAGTTTTGTCGACCTGACAAACTCCAAGGGGCAGCAGCATTCCGGCCAACTCCCGCCAGGGCAGTCCAAATACGCCCAACTTTTATCGGTGATCGAGGAGATGGGCCGTGACATTAGGCCTACCTACGCCGGGAGCAAATCTTCGGCAGAACGGCTCAAACGGGGCATCGTCCATGCCCGTATTCTCGTCCGAGAGTGCCTCATGGAAACGGAGAGGAGTGCGAGACAATGACAAGAACGGATATTCAAGACAGGTCTCATCCTCTGCCTCTTTGTTTATATTATACACTATTGTATTTGCCATCTGTTGAAGAAATTAGGTATTTATTTGTGAAATTTTATAGTCAAAGTTTACTTAGTCATGATTTTTATAGAGGTTAAAGGTGCTCATGTTTATTTTATTATTGTATCTCAGGAATTGTGCTAGTTATGCATTTCTAAGACTTGTCAGTTCATACCAGCATAGTATTTTTACTGCACTTAATAAGTGCTAATAATGATAAAAATAATTCTCTGAATAAAACAAAAGAACACGAAAAAATAATTTAATTTGCAAATCAGGTCAAAAAGCAAGATAGCAGGGAGAGTTTCAGGACTTAGCACATGAATTTTACTATATAGTAAATTTTATTATGCTGAGTAACGTTACTGTTTAACGTTATGGAGAGGATTGACCAGTTTTTTCAATGTTGAAGAGGATCAGATGGTCTTGAATGGAGTTACAAATTTATGCAAACAATTCGCCTTACTGTTTAAATAATTTTGGGATGGAAAAGCAACACCTCTCAGTTGAACTGCCTTTTTTATAATTTATTTTCTACACCTTTTTACAATTAAAAATTGTCTGATATTCTGATCAGGCTTGATTTACAATGGTGTTTGAGTCTGTAAAAATTTTATGTTTGAAAGGTGTAGAACAGATACTCAGGTAAAGTGTAATCCTGTAAATAGTTTTTGTTTGTTAAAAAGATTTTTTTGCCATTTATTCCTTATACGCATGTTATCAAGATTTCAAACACGTCATTACACAATTTCATGTAGCATTTATGTAGTAATTTTTATATAATTTATTTCTTATGATTATATAAACCCTTGTTTACTTAAAGATTAAGAAATTACTTTACTGTACAATTTAAATTAAATTAATGTTAGAATAGTAGATGCAAAACCAAAATGAGAATGGATATAATATCAGTATTATTATTTTCAGCGTGTAAAAGAAAAAAACTGAAAATACCTCTTTAACGTCAAGTTTATTTAAGATTATTTTCCCTCATAAAAAGGAGAAAATACTGATATAAAAGATGACTTTGCAGTTATAAACAACAACAATCTAATTTGTACTGTATAGATTGCACATTCCATTTTAAAAGCATAAAGTTCTAAATCCCCTGATTATAATAAATTTTACTATTGTGAACTTTATTTTTAAAGTGTGTCAAGACTATTATTTAGTCTATTTGCTCAATTATGCTACTACAAATTTTCCAGATTTTCAAGAAACATGGAGAAAAAAAAAACTTGTTTTCTTATTGTAATTGGAAATTGAATTGTAATTAGGTACACATTAATTGTCTTTATTTATCTTTTAACTTTCAGGTTTGGTTTGTGAAAAGAAATGAAAATCATTGATAGCACTTTTACAAAAGCATTAGTTCATGTATTAAATTGTTACTTAACAATGTGAAGTATTAGTTTTACAAGTGTTATGGTCTGTATTGGACATAAGTAATTACTGAATTTATCGTTTGTACTTAATTAATTAACAAAAACTAACTGTATTAAATGATTTTATTTGAACATTTTAATTAATTTTGAGATTTCATGTTGTGGTCGGCGGGGTAATCAGCTTGTAATTTGATCGTTTCCGATCAAACAGGTCTGAGGCTATCCTTGCTGTTTTGGTCTGTGGATTTGTGAAATATGGGAAATTCCCAAATTATAAATTTAAATTAATTCTTTATGAGAACGAATAAGTTAGTTTAAATTTTGTGTTATTTCTTTAAATAATTAAATAATAATAAGACAAATATTTTCAATGTTTTATAAAAATGATAATTAAATTTTTAATTATATGAAATGAGTTGTGATAAATCTAAAAGAAATATATCATGTTGTAATATTTAATTATGTTATGATGCAACATAAGGATTTTATACAGTTTCCAAGGGCCAATAATTTTTTCAATGCTGACCAAAGATTTTTAATAATGTCTACCGTCCAAAAAAAGAAAACATTGGAGTAACCAAATCTAACTTTTAAAATCTCCTAATGTAATACGAATATTACCTCAAACTGTACTATCCTGTACACAATAATTTATGAATGTCTTCCTTAGGATAGGAAATAAGTCGTGTTTACTTAAGTCAACTTTGTCCTGCAAACTCAGCAGTAGAACTATATTAAAAGGAAACTTAGAGAAAAAATGGGTCTATTTCTCGCACAATGTTTGTAGCATTAATGTGGGAAATTAAACAAGTGAAACATGACTGATGATTGTTAGAACAAAATTGAAGTATACTTTTGTTGGAAGAGTCTTAATAATTAATAATAATCTGTGATGTAGATTGTATTTGTGTATTATATATTTGTTGATAAATTACATGCGACTGTAGCTACACTTAATATCTGCTACGGTGAAAATATATATTTGATTTAATTCCTTGTCTATCGAAATAGTCATTATAATGTTTATTGGGATGAAACGGGTCATTTCTTACCAAAATAAATCTAAACTTGTATTAATGTTAATTTAAATTTTAGGTTTAATTTAATTTAAAACCAAAGTTTTTCAATGTATTGACTTCACACATAGTAACATGCATTTATTAGGTTTAAGAGGTTGTTCTAATGTTGTTAATTAATTTAGATATTGTTTTTGTGGCCTATTTAATAATGTCATCAATCAATAAAATACACAAGATGAGAAAAAATTGCACAAAAATGTATACAAATTGTAGAAATTTAGTTATAAAATAAAGTTGAAGTATTTTCTAAATTTAGCCTTTATTTCTATCATTATCACCAAAATATCCAATTTCTTTTTCCATCCTTTATTCACATTTAAAAAAAGTTAAGTAATGAGAATTTTTCAACTTGAAAAAAAAAAAAATCTTTTGCCATGCAAGTATTCAAAAGCTATACTATTTGAATGTGTTTTATGAAAGAGTAATATTGTTTATTTATAAATGATAAAAGAGATGAGATTTGCAATGTTTGATGGTAGAAGTTGGTCTGTGAGTCAGAGAACACATGTCCACATCTGCACTCAAAATATGTAGATTTCAATTCAACATTTTTCTTCCAATCTTAACAGTATTTCTCCTAGAGTATAGTCTGCAGACTAATCATAAATCTATCATGGTTTCTTGCTTTGCACATTCTGCACACCCTTTTTCTCGTGTGGAGCCTGCACTGTTGTCAAGAAAAAAAAAGGAGTTTTTTTTCTTGATTACTATATTGCACTCTGAAATTTCATTAAATTCAAATATTACAAATAGATTATAGTACTGTCTGTGACTAGCACATGTTGCTTAGTGCACATTACATGTAATTAACAGTTGTTCTGGTTTGTGGAAAGGTAGCTTTTTTCTCTGTTTTTCCTTAAAAGTTTCATAGTTTCTTCTTTGCAGAACACTCAGTGATCATGCCAATCTTTTTCAGGTATTGATTCTTCAGTGCCCTGTCTAAAAACCTTTTGTAATTCTGAGTTACTTATTACTTTTTCTTTTCTAAGATTCTTAGAGTGCCTATTTCCAACCTTCTAAAAATGTCTTTGGTAGATTAAGTTCAAGTCATCCCAGCAGTCACAATTCCATCCGAATTCTTGATTTCTAACTCCTAAACTGTAGCTTGATTGCCCCTGATCATCTGGTATGTCTACTATTGCATTGTCAGATGCATTTTATCTTTAGTTGTGCACATTCCTGACCTATCAGGATGGCCGTGATCGTCTAGTGTGCACATTCCTGAAAATTTATAATCTCGCTGACTATATTTCATGGTCGACTATTTAGCTATCTGGCATGATAGCTATTTCTTTATGTTTGTATTGTAGCACCACATCTATGCCCATGTAAATAGCTGCTCTGTTGCTATGCTCACGGATTGTGGTCTCATCACAGTAAGAACCAGGGATTCACCACCATCCAACGTTTGTAATGCAATGCTGCTCCGAGTATATTCAGTGAAAGTCATTGTTAGCTGGATGGAGAGTCAGATACTTTACTTGAGTGCAGGTATGAGTTCAGGGTTAAATCTTCCTGAGGAGTTTGTTACCAGAAGAGGCCTCCAGCGTTACTACGACCCAGCCTAGGTTCCTCCCACTCATGAAGTCCACTGAGCAATAACTGATTCTAAGCCAGAGGTGTTATACACTTAAACCGAAGCACTTCTTTCCAATATAAAACTGCTCTTTCTCTTTGAGGGAGATAGGTGCACAGGAGAAGAGATATTTGATTTTGAGACTAAGCACTCCCAAGCTTATACCTCCTATCATCCACTCTACCTACATATTGTATTTTCCTTTGATGAAGGATTGTTTTGTTGCTTAGATGGATCTTGAATTGTAGTTCGAAGAATATTTTGGTCATACCAGCCATTGAGGTACATGAGTATAGGATATTCTGGATCATAGTGGATCTGAACTTGAGTTTAAGTTTTGATTGCCTAAGATTTTCTTCTCTACTTACTTATTTTTGAAAGGTTTCATTGCAGTCATTATCATTATTTGATGAGCTAGGATTTTCTTCATAATTCTAGTCACATCAAGCCTAAGATGATAACATGCAGGTTTTTTTTTAAATACAGTTAGTAAATTATTATAAAAATTGTGAATTATCTGGATGTTTTGAGGCGATATTAAAAAGGAGTTTTGTATATTATTTTTACATTATTTTTTAGGCCTCCTGATGGCATGCATGAAAGCAATTTCCACCTTCAACTTGGGCATGAATGCAGATTCTGTCGAGTGGTGCCCTATTGAAGGATTTAGAGATTTACTTGTATGTGGCACATACCAGTTAGATTCCAATTCTGGAGAAAGGATCGGAGAACTGCATTTAATTCAACTGGGGAAACACCCAGACCTGATAAACATAGTGCAGAAAATCAATATGCCTGGGGTGCTCGATTGTAAGTGGGCCCATGTCAAACTCGATTCAATTTACCTAGCTGTTGTGAATGCTGTCGGTGAAATAAGATTGTACATACTTCTAGGTAATCAAATTGTTTTTTTAAAAATTTCAGTATATCTGCAAATCAATCTGTTTCAGAAGAGGAGAAAAAGCTGAAAGAAGTTTTTATTAAAAAACTTACAAAGGATGACGATACGTTGTTACTGTCCCTGGACTGGTCTACAGGAGTTCACACTAGTGATGCTCATATTGTCACGAGTGACTCTAAAGGATTTATTCATCTTTTAAATTTTGATTCTGGTAATATAAATATCGTCGATAGTTGGTCTTTGCACAAGTTTGAAGCCTGGATTTCTGCTTTTAATTATTGGAATACCAATATATTTTTTACAGGTAACTTTTTAACGTTAAAATGTATTAGTAAATAAATTATTATTGTACTTCTTTAGGAGGTGATGACTGTTTATTGAAATGCTTTGATAAAAGGATAGGTTCAAAAGTTTTTAGCAGCAATGCTCACAATGCGGGTGTTACTGCTGTTCAGTACAACTTTAAAGATGAACATTCTTTTGCTTCAGGCAGGTAAATGACTAAATTTGATAAAAAACATATCAATAAAAAAAAAAATTAAACAAATTTTATTAAACAGCTATGATGAAAACATACTCTTCTGGGACTTTAGACATTGGAAGGTGCCAAAGGGGTCTGTGACTCCAGGAGGTGGTGTTTGGAGACTAAAATGGGAGCCATCCACGTGTAAAACGGTCGCTACGTGTTGCATGTATGAAGGATCATACATCGTCGATCCAGAAGAATTCACTACTATAGTCGACTACCATGAACACAAAAGCATCAATTATGGCATCGATTGGTGTTATTTAGATGAAAAAACATGTTTAGAAACTATAAGCGAAAGTGCTCAGGATGGTAAAAAAATTGGTTTACTTGCAGTCTGCTCATTTTATGACCAACATATTAGCTTGGCAACATTTTCAAATGATATCAAATAAGAATAACAATATCTTAAATTACAAAGTAAAATGTGCAATAATATTTCCGATTTTCTGCAAGTGAACTGTCGATATTCATTTTTTACCCTAAATCTTATGTAATACAGAAAAATTATATATTTTAAGGTGAATGTTAGAAATTTAATAACCTAAGTCAATACATAACAATTTTATTTACAGATAAAACATTTTGACACAAGCAATAGATTTAATACCCATTCAATGAGGTTTTAACTGTTCAAGGCATCTGACAAAGTATTTATAAATGTACTCAATTCGGTCCGGTTCAATTCCAGATCAACTTTGAATTTTGGTACGAGATCACTTTCGTTTTCATTACCCATGTGGTTCAAATCAAAGTGAAGCTGGAGAAATGTCTCATTCATGGAACTTATGGAACTGCTGTCTGTCACAAACTGCAAAGAAACAGAATAATAATTAGAATGTAAAATGAAAAACATTTCAGGTACCACTGTACCAATTGAGATCACCTTGAACTGACTACCACTTAATTATTTCATAATGGGGGTAAAACAAGACGCTAGAGAAATCTTGAAAATAATGAATAATTGAAACCTGTACTCAGATTACTGGAGGAAAAAAGAGAGAGAGAGAACAGAATCTGGGATATATTTCGAGAAAACCTTAAAATAGAATATTGAACAATTTAAACAAAACTAGTAGAAGAATGGACAAATTATGTTCAATTCCTGGATAAAAAATGCACAAGCCCTAATCAAAAAGCAGACTTTGAATTAGCTAACTAGTATCTACAAACAAATGTAAGGCCAAAAAATGTGTTTGGAATTAGCAAATAAATTTAAAAAAAGAAGATATTTACAAGCATTATATGAGAAAGAGAATGTTTTTCGTATTGTCAATGATAAAGCCATAACTGAAGAATGGAGACAAACAGAATGAAAAGTATTTAGTACTACTAATTAGGATTCTCCTAGATCAATTGAAAAGGTACTGTCTAAGAACACTGAACCCAGTAAATTTTGTACCACAATAAGCTAAAATGGCTACTGGGTCAGCCTTCAAACAACCCCTACCATCATTTTTTTTAAAATAATTTATTTATGTGTGTATATATATTTTTCTCCCGGTCACCTCGACACTATGGTAAGCACTACACCCAGAGGAAACATGTTAGAGAAACCAGCCAATGCTGGTAGTGAATGTGTCAATTAAATGGCGAGGAGGTCTTGAGGGCTTAGCAGTAGGGTTAGGATGAATCAAGAGCGTGGTGTGAACTTTTTGAAATGGGTATTAGATCAGTTCATTGACAAAATGAATGATGAAGATGTTATAAATAATGAGGTTAATGATGTAGTACGGATCTGTGACAATTTACATGTCTTGGTAGAACCCACAAAGTTCCATTTCTTATTTCTAAACTGGTTGTGGAAATGTCTTATATTTAGTTAGTTGTTTTGATGTGTTAAAGCAGATTTTGGTCCTAAAAGTCTTCATAGTAGTCCACGTCTTCCGTTAAGTTGTAGTCCCTTAAGTGTTCTCTGGGGATTCCATTTCAGTCTGCTGTCTTGGCATCTAACTATCTGACCTAACTGGAAGTTGGTAGCATTTTTTTTTAAATTTAATTTTTTTTATTTTATTTTTTAAGCGTTAATGTATACTGTATAACTTCTCCTACACATTTGCACTAGTCTTTGATAGGCTCAAAATGTCCTTGGGTGTTGGAAGTTGCTTGGATGCTTGGATAGGATTAGGCGGATAGTAAAAATGATAGTGGGATGTATAAGAGAGTCAGTTGTATAAAGGATGAGACCAAAAATATTTCCTTGTGCGACAAGCCTTATATTCTGATATCTAAATACTTGTCACCACACCTCAGTTAACTAGTATTCAAGGATAAGGCAGTAAGGAGTGATTAGGAATCGTTTAAGTTTATAGAGGATGCCTGAGTGCCAGACCCTATTGAAATAAATGAATAAATATATGAAACTGCAAAGACATGGGCATTTAAAAGATAATTTGAACAAGTTATGCCCTTTAAAGGTTCCACTGACATTTCCAAAATAAAATCTTTTGCCTTGAAACTCAATAAATTGTTTGGATTGACCTTTAAAACAACTCTTTTTCAAAAACCATTTGGGTTATTAATGAAGTTAACTTATTGTTATTTTTGACAATACTTTGCCTGTAATGGACAGTATTTTGAGTTTTGTTAACTTATTGCATATGACATCAAAAAACAGTTTTCAAATTAAGTTACTGAATGTATTGACAACAGCAATATGATTATTTTGTTCTTTATCTTTACCTGCAGGCACTAGCAAGTTATTAAAGAAAAAAAAAATACTGGTATTTTAGAGGATATCAGAACTACTATTAAGCACAGTGCAGTGTGGGTAAAAATGCAAAGGCTATCATGTAGAAAATGATAAAAGGTAGTGAAAAGCTGAAACATATCTGACAGGCTATATATATATATTATGCAGGGTGGGCGACCAAGACCCGAGGGGTTAAATGCCTGGGTAGACTCGTACCCCATCCCTAAAAGGTCCGGGACTTGGTCGGCTCATGTGTCCTGCATAAACCTCTCGGACTTGTTCACAAACCCCATGATTTTGGACCATTTAATTTCGGAGAGTGATTTGGTGATGTCCTCTCCTTCAAAAGTGTCGAATCTAGACCTAGTGTACCTATCGCACTCTGCGAGGTAGTGCCGTGCCGTTTCTTCTTTTATTTCACAAAAACGGCAAAAGGGGTCTGGTAGAATACACATTACAAAGAGGAGTATTCTCAGTGGGCAGTGGCCCGTCAGAATACCTATCAGCCTCCTAATTCCCTTCCTTGAGTTAGAGAATAGCCATTTCGATTCTGTTGGTTTGATCTTCATGAACTCCTTCGATTGCCTTGGTCCGGGGGACAGATTCCATTCCTTAAGGAATTGTTTCATACCCCAGTTATTGATACTCTCTTTCGCTGTGTTTATAGAGTGGGGTAATACCAGTTGTGGCCCGACAAACGCAGTATTAGAGCCTTCTTTGGCCAGGCTATCCGCCACTCCATTGCCATAGTGTCCTTTATGTGCAGGTATCCAAATAAGGGTTACACCGCTGACAGGACCTGAACCCTTCTGCGGCATAGGAACCCACACTATTAATGAGTATCTCAGATAGAAGGACAAAAAGAAAATGAGGGAACTATGGAATTCACTCATTGGACACAGACAATCCAAGAATCTTCGAAACAATTTTGGAAGGAAAGAAATTACAGAATGTATCAAGGGAAGCAGGAACTGCGAATCCTAATAGGATTCCTAACAGGACACTGTAAGTTAAACACACTTAAAGAAGATTGGAATAATCAAAAATGGCACATACAGATTCTGCAAAGAGGCAAAAGAGACACCAACACATCTACTAACAAACTGCGGAGCTATACTTGCCCGCAGGAGGAAGTGTTTTGGGATGTATAATGTGACCATAGAAGAGCTTCAACCACTAAAACCGAGCCTGTTAATCAAGTTTCTTGATGAAATAGGACTCACCGATGTGCTTTACGCAGAGCACGGGGGATACAATAGCTCTTAAAGGGCGCAGTATACTATACCCTGAATACATCTACATCTACTAATAGACCAATACTTGTTGTGGTGCACAGGTTGTAAAGAGGCTGGCTGCTGTATAATCTAATCTAATCATGGATGGTAGAGTGCGGCACACCCAGAACTTGATATACGTAGCGGAAGCTTAATAAGCTTAGCTAAATTGAAGTTGATTGATTTTAACTAATCTGTGAGAAGCTTTAATAGGCTGTTTTAAATTGTTGACAGCACATTTGTAAATGTACATTAATAAGGTTCTTGATGGTAGTGCACAGGATGCAAAGAGAGCTCTTTGAAAATTTTTATTAATTTTTCAATAAAACCTTATAAATTTATAGTTATTAGTTACTATAAATTTATAGCTTTATTTCAACATAATTAGGCATCTATAATGAACATTTTCCAACACCCAATGATGCATTCATTCAGGATGTCACCTATTAAGACACTGTGCACTTTAACACTAGGCCTTCAATTGCCTAAGTATAAATGAAATAAATTGTAAAAAAATAATCGACGATGGTTAATATTACCTGCAAATTCCAGTCGTAGTCTATAAGCTGAAGCTCGTCCATGGTTGAAAAATTAAAAATAAATTTCTTGTTTACACCCAGGACGCCCCCACTTCATCTGACCGGATTTGGAATAGGAAAAGTGTTCTGTCAAGCAGGAGCATAGCACCGCCCATAACAGCAAAGCAACCTTTTGAAGCTCTGACTGATAAGGTAGAACATAAATAGCATAAATAGCACAAGGAGAATGGAGCGCCACCTCTGGCAAGTGGCGGATCTCAATTCCAAAACCCTTTATAATTGAGATTTCAAATTGATTCAAAATAAAATTTTTCCGACTTTCACAAAAAGCCAATAATTTTTTCCTTTTTTTTCATTTTAACAAAAATATACATATTAATTTGAGCAAATTAGTAAAACTAATACTATTCCTAAAGTCATGATTTGCAAAGATGCAATTTGCTGTGATGGTCCTTCTATTGTAAACTTGTTTAAAAAACATTTTCAATCATCACCTTAATTAAAAAAGAACGAAATTTCTGACTTATTACATGAGATATTCTTCCATCAGACTACAGTGTAAATCTCCGTCTCATATATGTTATAGGAATTATCTGATATTTATTTATCCATTGAATTAGTCCAAACAGGGACAAAACCCCAGGATCGGACAGTCAATTACATGATTCATATTCGCTATTATAACTTAAAAAATACCTTAAGTTAATGAAAATTTTAAATTACAATATTAGAAAAAAAAAAAAGTTAAATACATATAAACAGACTAATAAAATACAGAATGACCACTTAGCCACTGTGATCCGACCCTCTGATGCTGAGAATGCAAGCAAAAACAAGATTCAAAGAAGGTGGCAGTATCAATGAGCCAGATCGACAGAGGAGCTCTCGCATATCAAAAGCACTGTCGATGGGTGGCCTGCAGAGGATGTGACTCGTAGAAGAGAGGGTCATCCTCACCTGATTAAGAATAGGCCATGCAAGGTTGACACGTGGACACTTACTTTTGAGCCAAAGCCTGCATTTGTGTCCGGCATGCATAGTGCAGAATTGCTCGATGTGTCCCACCAAAATGAAGAGTGAAATTCCTTGTCTTCATACAGAGAGAATGTGCAGGAATGTCACCCGATTTGAGAATTGTGCTTGGGTCCTCGGTTCTGATTCTTGCAGGAAACAGAGTTATTTTATTGTATATAATAATTATAATTAATTAAGGTTTTTAGTTGAGATAAAAAAGTCAATGGCACGAGCGGGATTCGAACCCACGATCTTCGGCTTGATGCGCCGCTGCTCTACCACTTGAGAGACATCGTGACCTCGATCCACTCAGACACCAACTTCCCATCTCAACCGCACCTTTTGAATTTTCCCTCCTTTAGTATTTAATAATAATAGTTGTGTACACCAAGTTTGTGTTGAGAGTGAATGTATTAATAGCACGGATGTGTGATGTGAGATGGTTGATGGTGGAATATCGAGTACCCCATCGACTCTCAATTAGGCTAGTTGTGTAGTAGTGTAAAGGGTGATGGAGGACTATCGAGTACTCCATTACCCTAATTGATGAATGGTATGTAATTAGGAGTGAATGTATTTAAGAATGAACGTGAGTGTGAATGGGTTTGGAATTGCATGCGTTGAGTACTGAATTGACCTAGCAGTTCTCACAATGAGGCCAACCTTGGTACTCGGTAACTTGATGGATACGACTGAGGTCTGCCCCCCCTGGATTGCCAACACCCGGGGTGGGTGATTCTCTAGTCTGTCAGGAATGTATAGCAAAAGCTGGAATCGCCAGTGGACTATGAGATGCCAATAAGCTCAACTCAGCACATGTTTTATGTATGTACATACATGCGCGGATTTGATCCTATACAAATCCAAATTTAAAAATAAAATACAAAATAACTAATATGATCAGTTTGTAAGTGAAGTACATCCAGTGTTTTTCATCACTTAGAGTGTAAGTCAATGGAAGACCAGCACTCCACCTACTAAGCAGAATGAGTGAAATGCATGAATGTATTTATTTGTATGACTCACTTATCTAATTTATTTAGTATTAGGCTAAATTATTGCTTGCATGTGTTTGGGACTGAAATGATCTGCAGGAGCCTAGTTCTGTTGGTTGGGAAGCGACGATCTCCTGGGCTTCTGGTTTAATGGGAACACTTGCGACCTAGCCACATAACGGTGTGGGTGATCTCCCTGATGTATAGACACTAGGGTGATCACATCAGGGTGTGACAACCCTTTGGGGTGCAAGTCTAAATAATGATATGAAATTACAGATCAAAGTCCTGAGAGTGACCACTCTACCATCCTTGATAGTCTACAGCGATTTAGGATCACTAAGAAGCACATAACATCCATCACATTTATCGATATTATTACATATGTGAAAAACATCAAATTTGGGCAGTAAGCTAGCAGTGGGGAAGAAATTCTGTTCCAAATGATAATCCCAGAATATTGCTGATGGTAGGTTTCAAATTAAATATATTGTGGGCTTAGTTCTATACTCGTGGGCTTTGATGACACAAACACATTTTGGCTTTGCGACATTGTCTAAGCCACAAAACCGTTTAAGACCGTAAGTGTCCTCATCGAATTCCCTTGCCCATTTTATCAACCCCTTTGTTGCTCCTCTGCCCTGGTACTCAGAAAAGGGTAATTTTATGGCTTTCCCCAATGCCTGACAGAGCCCTAATGGAATTCTAAACGACTCTGGACTTTACTACCAATGTGGTAATTGCCCTCAGTGCCACCTGGCTGCCCGAATAGATCGCCATTTTTCTGTTAACGATACCTAGCCTTTTAACCTGTTTAATTACAAGTTAGATTTAGAAATAATTTAACTTTCAGGTTTAATTTTCTGCATATTAAACAGAATATCTACATTATCTTAATTACTTATCTCTTTTATCTTTCTATCTACCTAGATACTTTAGGTCCAACTATTAGCAGTTGGGTGTTGTGGATAAGGCTTAGATTTATAATTTTTCCCCCTTTTCCATTGTTGAATATACAAAGGATCCTATTAAATAAAACAGGTTGTTATAAATATAAAATTTTGCATCTTATGGTTTTGTTCCTAGCCATATAGAGAAATTGGCATGATTTAGATGCTAACTCTATAAATACTAATAAATTCAAAATTCACACCAAAAGGGTTAAAAACTAAAAAACATTGCTACTATAAAATTATATATTTCCTAACAAATAGAAAACAATATTTAAACAATTAATATTTAATATAATATGTTGTTAAGAATCTTCCACTTTGGTCAATAGATAAACCCTCTGTGGTTTTTTTGATATTGGATGAAACATCCTTTGCCTTGTCATTCTGAGACCCGATTTTTGGTGGTTAAGAAAAGTCCTTACAAATAATCTGTTGTTTTCGTGAACATTTGGGTGGTTTATGAACTCTTGGACCTGTAATTTGATTCAAATTGATTCCAGTAATTATTGAAATCTCAAGTGATAAAATCCTTTACATTCATCCATTTGCAATCTTTGACTTCGCTTTCCTCTTTTGAAATCTCATGAGTTAAAGGCTTCAGCCAAACAATGAAGTAAATATCTGAACATCCGAAATTACCTTGAAGAGAGTGTCTAAATGCAATAACCGATATAAACTCGGTTTGAATGGTTGTTTCTTCTAATACCTGGAACATTTGAAAGGTGCAATATATTTTAAATTATTGATTAAGTTCACTAATTTCGTGCTCCACTTGACCAATTAATATATTACAATTAATTAAGGCTTTTAGTTGAGATAAAAAAGTCAATGGCACGAGCGGGATTCAAACACACGATCTTCAGCTAGATACGCCGCTGCTCTACCACTTGAGCTATTGAGACCTCGATCCACTCGGACACCAACTTCCTATCTTGGTGGGGTTGAGATAGGAAGTTGGTGTCCGAGTGGATCGAGGTCACAATAGCTCAAGTGGTAGAGCAGCGGCGTATCTAGCCGAAGATTGTGGGTTCGAATCCCGCTCGTGCCATTGACTTTTTTATCTCAACTAAAAGCCTTAATTAATTATTAAGTTATAATAATAATAATAATGATAATACATATATAATTATAATACACTTATAATAATAATACTACCTCTCGTTGAGCTGCATCGCCTATGTCTTCCAACGGCTCCACATAACCCCCAGGCAATTTCCAGTGGGTATAGTCGGCGTATTTTTCCTGAACAGTGAGAATTTCATCTTTGTCATTTATCACTATCGCACCAGCACCAACCGTATTATGAGCAAATGGTGGTATCACATTTTTTTCATCTTTTGGCAGCCATTTAACAAGGTTCACTAGATCACCTTTACCATGGTGGACTGTGAACCCATTCTGTAAATTTCAAAAAATTATTAATGAGAAAACACTGTTACATTACTGTTGATACACTTAATAGTATTTGTTTAAGATGTATGGTAAATACTTTCGCAAGAACTGAAATCCAATCGGCCTGTGAGAGGTGAACTTCAAACCAAACACTTCTCAATTTTTCATTTGTCCATTTTTTCAAAGAAACTGAAATCACATTAGACTATTTAAAATCGGTATTCTAAGGTCATGTAATTTAATTATCTAAGTAAGATCATTTTTAGGATTAGCATCAATTTCTTCCATTTATAGGTACTTACAACTAGGTCAATTTTAAAATGAACATTTTGCAATTTTCTATTGCATATTTTATTTGTGCCTGTTTTGTGCCATTAATAAATATATCCGTCAATATCGTAGATAGGGTAGTTAAAAATTCTGTTCCAAAAGATTAATCAACTTTAATGAGATTATAGTTATTATTATCTGTTTTTTCCTGATAATACTGATTAACGCATTCATTATCATCTTGGTTTTATTTGTTCAGGAAATATACAGATAAATAAAATAATTTTATAGTTCAAAGTTTCAGTGTTGATGTAGTTTTTTAAATGCGTGTACCAATTTGAATTGAGATAGTTAATTATTTTTTCAATATTTTTGCAACAATACTGTAACCCAATAAAAATGATTTTAGTACAAACTCAGGATTATTTGTTTATAATTAATATATGGATTGTTTTTTGACCAAATCAGTGCTGATTGTTTGAAAATGCTTTGATAAAAAAACAGCTATTTTTGAAAATAATAAGCAATTAATGGAGTTTTATTTTGAATAAATAATGAAATTAGGTGGCTGCAACAGTTTAGTCGTTGACACGGCGTTCATGACTGTAAGATAAAGATCCTGGGTTCGAATTCAGCGGCCCTGCATAATCCGTTTGTGATCAACAAGAGTGAAAGGAACAAATATGCTGCTACTAAACATTTTTTTATTCTCAGGCAAATTTCCATATAAAGTATACTGCCTAAAAAATGGTTTAATCTGGCACTAGTTTTTTAAAAATATGGGATATCATCTGAAGCATTTTAGTAGTCAGACAGTCAATCAAAAATTTCCTTCTATCAGATCTGATTGTCTGAAATGATAGGAAATCTAGTTAGTAATCAGAAGACCAGCAGCACATTCTACTATCAAACCTGACTGGCTAGATCAATTTTTGGACCAAGCATCCAGATGATAAGCTGTAAATTTCTTTGTTAGCTTTGGTTGATTAAACAGTTTGTTGGATCTGGCAGTTTGATGTCCCACTGGAGACTGTAGGCATACGTATAGACTCGGAGTGGCAGAAACAAGCCTGTGCAGATATTGCCAAGAAGAAGAAAGAGTGGAACATGTCTTCTGTTGTGCCAAGGCTTATGCAGGCTAAGATTCCTTATCCTGGTAGAGGAAAAGCCAAGGCCTGAATGTTACACAAGGGAGCCATTGAACAAGCTTTGTGGTATGGTAAAAAGCTCTTAGCTTAACGAGGAGCTGTAGATAAAAAGAATGGAGATGCACAATAGACCAATACTGGTTGCGGTGTGCATATACCGTAATGAGGCCATCTCCTACATAATCTAATATAATCTACAAATTTCCTTCTATCAGATCTGAACTGTTGAACCCAGTAGCTAAAGAAGCACATTCTTATCATACCTGCCTGGTTAGAACAATTTTTGATCCTGGATGACAGGCTATAAATTTCTTTACGGCTTTGATTGTTTAAACTGTTTGTTGTATCGGACAGTCTGATGACCACCACAAATTTCCTTCTATCAGGTCTGATTATTTGAAACCATTGCTAAATCCAGTAGCCAGAAGACCAGTAGCACATTATACCAGTAACCAGATCTCGAACTGTAAATTTTTTAATATTAAATATGATTGTCTAAAAGATTGCTGAATTTATTAGAGAAATGGATGTCACATCTGATTGACTAGTACAATTTTTTATGAGGGTATTTCAACTACGAGGTTATATGAACCCTCAGGGTGCCAGTGTTTTTGAAAAAAAAAAAAAAAATGAAAAAATAAAAGCCCATTTGTAATTATGTCAGGTCGAATGCAGGGCCGCTGGTTTTGAACTTGGAACCTTTACTTTACGGTAATGAGCATCGTGTCAATGCTTAAACTGTTGCAGGCACCTACACCCCCTGTTAGAATAATTTTTGGACCCAGATAAAAAGCTATATATTTCTTTATATTAGCTTTGGTTGTTTAAACGGTGTGTTGGATCTAGCAGTCTGATAACCAGCTACATATGTCATTCTATCAAGTCTGATTGAAACGATTGCAAAATCCAGTAACCAGAAGACCAGCAGCACATTATACCATCAGACCTGATTATCTTGATCAATTTTTGGACCCAGCAGCCAGATCTCCAACTGTAAATTTCTTTATATTAAATCTGATTATCTGAAACAATTGCTGAATCTAGTAGAGAAATGGACAACCGCAAATTTTGTGCTGTCACATCTGATTGCCTAGAACAATTTTTTTATGTGGGTATTTCAACTACGAGGTTATATGAACCCTTGGGGTGCCAGTGTTTTTGGAAAAAAAAAAGCCCATTTGTAATTATGTTGGGTTCGAATGCAAGACCACTGGTATCAAACCTGGGACCTTTACCTTACAATGTTGATTGGGATTCGGGTAGGGGTCTACAAACATACAATGTTATTATATCAACACCCAAGCTTTCGACAAGTTTTATTGCCTTCTTCAGGGGATCTACAGAGACATAGGGACATAATCATTTAGATAGTTATAAATTGTATAAATAGTTATAAAATATCAGTTTTTTTGTTACTTACAGATACAAAGTCAAAACTTAAACACATTGCACATTACACGATATGTATATATACAAACTATATACATATATAATAAATAAAAACCTCTTCTTAACAGCCTCTTACATATATAGGCATTTTTTAAACCAGTAACAATTACTTAACAATTAATATTCTTTTGGTACATAAATAGTTTATAGGTTACTGGTTTAAAAAAAGCCTATATATGTAAGAGGCTGTTAAGAAGAGGTTTTTATTTATTTATTTATTATATATGTATATAGTTTGTATATATACGTATCGTGTAATGTGCAATGTGTTTAAGTTTTGACTTTGTATCTGTAAGTAACAAAAAAACTGATATTTTATAACTATTTATACAATTTATAACTATCTAAATGATTATGTCCCTATGTCTCTGTAGATCCCCTGAAGAAGGCAATAAAACTTGTCGAAAGCTTGGGCGTTGATGTAATAACATTGTATGTTTGAAGACCACAACCCGAATCCCAATCAACATATGAAGGCTGGTTGATCGCACAACAAGCATTTACCTTACAATGATGAGCACTGTGTCAATGCCTTTACTGTTGCGGCCACCAACATCCCAGGCTAGAAATTTTTGAACCTAGATGACAAGCTATAAATTTCTTTATATTAGCTTTGATTTTTTAAATTGTATGTTGGATATGGCATTGTGATGACTAGTTACAAATTTCCTTCTATCAGGTCTGATCGAAACGATTGATAAATTCAGTTGCCAAAAGACCAGTGGCACATTACACCATCAGACCTGATGACGAAGATTAATTTTTGAATCCAGCAGCTAGATCTCCATCTATAAATTTCATTATATTAAATCTGATTGTCTGAAACAATTGCTGAATCTAGTAGAAAAATTGACGGGTACAAATTTGGTACTGTCAGATCTGATTGGCTAGAACAATTATTGAATTTCATCCAACATGCCTGTTCCAACTACACACCATTTGAGTATGATTTAATCGTGCGACAGATATTTTGATTTTCAGATATGCGCTTCAGACTATCAGATCTGACGGTTGGATGTGTGCACCTGGCCTTAAATATATCTAAACTAAAAGGCACTTTACCCATTTATGACCTAAGAGGCATACACCACTGGTCACTCCATCAACCGTAAAGAGTTGAGACAAAACTTATCACCTTCCAGCTTCTTGGCAAACTGTTCCAAATTTTGGCAACATTCGGTTTTCGACGAGACAGTCACACCTCTGTGCCCGTCCAGTTTTCCGATGAATCCGTCTTCAGACATAGCGTAAAATCTTGAGACACTTTAAGCAGTACCTTGTACAATAAGCAGTTGGACAAAATTAAATTCAATTCTCGTACGTTTTGAGAAAGGGTGATTTTCTAAGAAATCCGTTCGGGAAGACAAGTCGCGTGAAACCCATTGAACACGCTCTCCTTTTTAGACTGCGGTAAATAGGTTTTTTAATCATTTAAATTGAAATCCTTGGTCACACAGGAAGGCCCCATTCTGATCCTTATCAATAACCAAAACATTAACGATAACAGCTAAGGTAATTGTCATGTTATGAACAAAAAAGTCTGAACCAATCTCTACATGGTGTGCTTATCTTCTGTTTAGTTTTTTATACTTTAAACCGATTAATTCCACAAACTAATAATTTTTTTCATTTCTCTTATAGTTCTTGGCCAGAGAATGTTTCAGCGAACAATATCGAGACATCTTATCAACACCGTCCGGAGATCACTTTCTAACGGAACATTACAGGAAGTGAAAAACAATGAGAAAATTTCAGAAACAAAAGGGTTCAATGTAATTTACAGGTAAATTTAATCAGTTTGCAAGATTTATTTTGTTCTGACAGGTTTCACAGAACAAAAGAAACCAATGATCAACTTGTAACAATGTTATATTGCTTTATCTTATGACATCATTATATTTGTTTATTCCACAGGTTTACTCCAATATTGATAGGATCGTTGGTAAATAGGTTGAAGAAAATTCAACTCTATATCACATGTACGACGGTGCCCGTGAGTTATGGTTTTTTTCTCACCGATTACTGCAGTGGAGATCTTCCCGTTTCAGTGGCAACACTTTGTCAGTATTTGCGTTCGCATTATGTACTGAAATTTTATTTTTCTTCTGACGATGTTGTGATTTAAAGGTGGTCTATCGATGTTGGGCACTGCAGCGATTGGGCAGTTTTTTACAAGAACTATCGGCTTTATATACATATCTGATGACGGCCAGGAGGTCAAACTCTCTTACGTAGATTTTTGGGGCAGACGGAAAAACATCTGCCTTCCTCCTGATGAGATTCTGCCTTTGTCTCACTCGCCGAGATATTTCACAGATATGCTTTATCAGAGAGTGTTTTTGACCACCTCTGTTAAACCTTTGAAACTCATGAAGTTTGGTGAAATAACCAACACTGAGGGCTTCTACAAAATCTTTGACCTCCAAACTGCCAGCAATACAAAGGAAATAAACGACAATTAGTTTTTTTTAATTATTATTTGTATTTGTAAGAGAAATGTATATATGTTTTTAGTGCAATTAAAGTTGTTTTAAATCCAATCTTGGTCATTAAATCCTGAAAATTTGCATATTTGAGATAAGAAATTTTAAAAAAATTATCTAGAACTTTTATAAAGTCTAAACTTTATAAAGTTACTGATAAGCAAATTTTTACATTAAGGTTGTGAATTTAGTGATAATGGGTTGTGGTTTATCAGCTATTATATTTGTCAGTTGCCAAGCTTTCGGCCTATATTTGACATACCTAAGCTGCACATATACAAAATAACAGAATAATTTATTTCTATTATAATATAAATGTTATATATAACTATTTTTCTTTAAATGGACTTACAAGATGTTGATATATAAATTGCAACAGAAACAATCATCAGTCAGTGATTACTCATTATTGATTTATATAAACTCAATTCTGCACACGGTTGCAAACATTTTTATAATTCTGCTCATCTTTTTATGACTCAAATAACTCATACACAGAAATAGAATATATCGTATTTTCCTAATGAATACTTGTCTAAATGTGAAAAAATAATTTTTTTTTACCTACTTGTATTAGCATTGGTTTGGCGGACAAGACGACCAAACCCAGGATGTCCCAACCTCTGGACTTATCCACTACATCTGATGTTAAAAAATATATTCAAAACATGACTAAAAGAAAGGTTTGAGCTTATATAAAGCAGTAATCAGTAATTAGCATTTGTTTCATTGATAACAAGTGAATAAGTGAAGATATCATCTGTATAATATAATTGTTATGAACTCGGCTTATCCCTAATTTATGAATGCATGTGGTGGTATGATAATCGCCAAATCCCCTAAACGAGTTAAAAACTAGATAAGTGCCAGTGCACAATGTGATTAGTACCACAAAGTCAAGATATAATTAAAATAATTAAAAAATCTATTTACTAGGGTAACCAAATTGCATTTGATGAAAGAATGTTAATGCAAAAATAGAATTTGTATGAAAGATTTAAACTTTAAAATCACAATACTGAAAAGTTGTGTTTTTTCTTATTCAGTATTGCCCTGAAGGTGCAGAAATACAGATGGAAAGCTTGGTAATTGATAAATACATCATAGTTGACTGATCACAAAGGAGCGGATGTTTATGTACTAAAAAAAATATGTACATAAATATTTTATTTATTTTGGAAAAATATGTATTTATTGTTTGTAAAATATAAAATATAAAACAAGAAAATATTCAAAAACCAAAAACAATATAATGTTGGTTTGTTTAATAGAACAATTTTAAAATAAATAAAACCAAATTTAAACTAATTTCATTATTTAAAATTATTGGATGTGACATGGTATTTTAATTTTCAGGTCTTAAAATGTATTAATATCTGCTAAATGAGCATTACATCTACCAGGTTATTGGAGCAAATTTAAAACTTGAAATTTCATTTGGGTTTAAATGAAAGTTGAAAGTTTCTCTTTGATTACCATGCAAGAGGCCAGATATGTTCTTTAGCTCTTTGAATTTAGGATTAGTAAGCAGCAGATTTTCCATTTTCTTTCTTATTTTATTGCCAAATTCTCCTCCAGCTGTATATAATTTCTTAATAGTTGATTCAACTACACCAATACACTCAATAACTGACATATTTTGAGATTGTATTTAATTTAATTTAATTTATTTTTTTGAGTGCCAAACTTTGAATGAGTGTAGATGTTTTCCATTAGATTCTTTACCTTTTCAATGGACGGAATAGAATCAATGTCAAAGTTTTCATATAAAATCCTTTATTTTGTAGAAATTCTCATAGTAATATTCCGTTGCCTCATATTGTAAGCTGAAGAGAGACACATTTATACAAGTTTCTTTAAAGATTTTTGTGTGTCTTGGTGTTTAAAAAAAGTTTTTTTGCCTGCTTTTCACTTTTAAGGATGTTTGGAGCTGAGATGGCTAAAAACTTAGAAAAGCTGTTTCGATTTAAAAAAGTAAACATAAAAATCTACTCCCTACTGATTACTATCCATCCTAAATCAAGAATTTTTTTCAAATAGACCTATTAATACCTAATAATATATCTATATATATAATATTTACGACCTGATAAGTACCTTACCTAACAATACTTTTCCAAAGCATGTTAAAGATAGAATAAATTAGCTTATTTTTCTCTAATTTTTGCTTTTCGCATTTGTTATGTGTTTACAAAGCCAGTGAGAATAGGCCAACATGATCAATTCTATCAATCTAACGGTTCAACCTTTAGCTGAAAATGATTATGCACAATTAAATTAAAGAAAAATGAAATTATATGAAACCTAATTAAAACAAATTATTGTTATTATTAGAACCTAATTTTCTAATTGAGATGTTAATTATTGTCATTTATCTTTAGAAATAATTTAATTTAATTTCCGATCTCACACTAGTTAATTTTTGTGAGATTGAGAATTTTGTTTTGAAGAATCTTCAATGTTTTATTAAGAGCAAAACCAAGCAATTAATTTTTAGTTAAATTTATATTTGTTTTTTGTTGATTTTTTTTTCAAACTATCTTAATTAAATAATTTTTATTAAAGCTCAGAATTTTTGATCTTATTTTTGGTTTACAATAAAATAAGCATGTAATTAATATAAGGATAAAAATACACATAGTTTGAATTAAACAACAAAATACAATTGTTTGATTTTTTTTATCTTGTAGTATCATATAAGAAAATTAAAACTCATTTATACCGATGATGTTCATCTGGATATTTTGGTCACATGTTACATTTTAAAATTCAAAGTTATATTTTTAGGAATTTTATTTGGACTTAACAGAAAATTGGCAAAAAAAGGTTTAATTTGAAGTAGCAATGTCTTTCATTTCCATGCATGTAAATTTATTCAGAGAGAAAAAAGAAAAAGTTTCCTCTAGATATCGAAGCACCGGGAGACTGAAAAATGCTTCATCTTGCACAGATACCAGGGCGTGCAGTTTGGACCCAAAAAAACAAAGGGAATACTTCATGGAGAGTTTTAACATTTCGGTGAAATCAATAAAAATGTCTTACTAAAGATAACGTTGCTTACTGTTGAAAATTTTGCAGCCAAGCTCGAGCGATGAAGATACACGTATTGACAAACCCATAGATAATTTTATTGTCAAAACAAGAAAAACTCAATCTACTGGAAATTTGGTACTCTTCTATTTTACTACTGTAGTATTAATATATTTTCATTAATTGATTGAGCAAAAAGGATGGGATAATCTTTATATAAAATCTTAACTTCTGATACATATACCAAAGTTTGAGATTGTCTATGAATCTGCTAGCATTAAAATGAAATTCAGGTTATTTTTTGAGTAAATAGTATGTTTGTTGTGTCTAGTTTCAAGAACAATGTGTTAACCAACTAAAATATTTATTGATGGGAGCTGATAATAAAATTGAAGAGCTTACAACAACTAATGTAATATTGGTAAATAATATTGGTGTACATGTATTGCAATGATTTTTTTTTGTAGAGAAAATTATGGAAAAAAAATCAGGAGTACACCGATGAGGTAGCAAATCTAAGGCATTTGCTAAAGGATTTACAAGAGCAGATAAACCATTTAGAAACGTTAAAAGTAGAAAATTCAAACTTGCGATCTGAAAGGGGCAGTGATTTTAAAACACAGTTTCTCAAAGCAGAAAATGAAATGTCCCAATTATCACAAGAGCTCAATGTATTTCAAGGCATAAAAGAAAGGGTAAATATTTTATTCGCACAGTGAAGAATATTTGTTGAATTAATTTTGGCTGTTGGTAGTATGAAGAATTGAGGTACGCTCATGATCAGCTTAAAACTGAGCACAGCGTTGTCAACCGTACGTTATCCATGATTAAAGAAGAAAAGGCAAAGCTTGCGATACAGTGCAATTTACAAAAAGAAAGCTTAGACCAATGGAAATCAAAGGGTACGGACATACTATCAATAATAAGCGATAAAAATCAGTTGAGAGAGAAACTACAGCAAAAAGATGAACAAATTGCCAACTTGTGCGAAAGTGTAGCCACTCAGGAGATATGCATTCAACAACTCAATGAACAATTGGAGAGCATAAATGATGAAATGGAATGGAAAGAGGTAAAATATGTAATTTTTATGTATTGTCGTTACATCTATTTTAAAGATGTTCCTTTTTATAATTTTATTTTTATAATACAACTTAAAAAAAAAAAAAATTAGCATTTAAAAATGATTGTGTTTATTATCTGTTTATTTTTCTTTTAGAATATGCTGAGGAAACAGGTTGAAAGTCTGCAGAACGAACTTATGGAAAAAACATCTCAGATTACTGATCTTGAATCCCAATTAGCAATGACCAAACTTGCTGTCACCGAGCTTGAATCCCTCCGAGAACAGTTCCGTTGTACGAACTCAGACTTGAATGAAAATATAGCTGTCTTCAGGAATCAGTTCTTGAATATGCTAGAAAGTTCCAACCACTTGATAGAGACTGTTGAGAGTCTGAAGAAAGAGCTCGATGAAAAGAACAAAGAACTGGAGAAAGTGAAGCTGTTTCCTCACACGACAAAATCCAAGTTTTATTTTAAAGCGTTGCATCATCTGCTTAATTCACCAAAACTCACTGCTGGAATAGGTGATTCTGTTAATCTGAGAGACATCTTCTTAGCGATTAAATCTATCGTGAATTGTTTAAAGAGAGATTTGTGGGTGACTATGGACTCTTCTTCTTTAGTTATTGAGTTGACAGATTCCACTTCACAAACAATGTTGTTAAAACAAGATATCACTTGCGAAAGGGAGGCCGTCGTTAACTGTACATCATCACAGACTGTTTACTGGGACGACCATCTTGCAAGATACAATCAGGCACTAAAAGATATAGAAACACTGTCAGAAAAGAACCTTTCTCTTGTTAAAATAAATGTGATGCAGACAGAAGTTTCAGGCACGTTGCAAAAACAGATTGGATCGAGTCAAGAAAAGTTGGCAGAAAGAGATGCTGTTATTTTGGCATTGAAAAACAGCAACTCACAATTATACGATCATATAATGACTTTAAATGACAAATTAAAGAGTTCTGATGAATTTTTGCATGAAGCGTTGATGCAGCTAGAATGTGATTCTGAAATAAGGACTTTATCCCAAGAGCAATTTGAAAATCTTTTAGTATCTACTGTTAACGAGTATGAAACTTATATATGCGTCTTGGAAACATGTCTTGAAAGTAAACAGCAAAATTTAAATAAGCTATTAGACAGTGAACAAAATTCAAGAGTGAAGGACGAAGTAGGATTAGATATTGACCAATTAAAGCAGACAATTAGCGAGCTAACATTGAAATTAGAATCAGAAAAGTCAATAGCGAATGAATTAAAGGGTGAGGTTGATACATTAATTTCAAAACTCAATGATAAATCAAAATATATATCTGATATAGAAGAAAAGCTTTCCATGACAGACAAAATGGTGGATAATTTAATTTCTGAAATTCGCACTAATTGTACAAAGGAACTTGAACTACTTGAAAATAGTCCATCCAACATTAATTCTACCAAAAAAGAAATCATTTTAACGTTGACAATGCTTCTAAATCAGTACAGGGAAAAATTTGTCACCCAAGTAGAAGTGAAAAAGCCAAATATAAAACAAAACTGTAAAAAGGAATGGTTACATAAACAAATAAAATTTAGTAACTTGCAAAAAACTAGATTGCAGCAGAAAGTATTTCAAATGTATTCCAACACGAAACGAGTGAGGAATATAATTCACGCTCTCAAAAAAAGGATGGGCAGGTCAGAAAAATTAATATTAGAACTCCAAACAATAACAGAGCTTTTGAACAATGAGAATAACCGTATAAGGGATGAAAATACAAATTTAACTGAAGAAAATGACCAATTGAAAGAGGAAATTCAAAATTTAGAGGAGAATTTAGCGATAGAAGAAAATAGTAAAAATCAATTGCTTGAAATTAAAAGTAAACTGGAGAGTATGGTTATGGATCTAATGAGGAAATTGACAAAATATAAAAAGATTGTAAAAAACAACAAGGACAAAGAGTTTACTGATGATGAAACCCAGACAGAAATTGAATATCAACTCAACAAACAAGTTGAAATTCTTAAAACAGAAAATATGTCTCTGTTAATGGTGATAAATGATTTGAAATCAACTATTTTCAATAAAACCGAAAACAAAAATGTAGATATTCAAGTAAATTCTGAAGGTGATATGATTGAAGGTAAGGAGGATGTCGATAAGATGAAGACACATTATGAAACTATCATTGAAACTTTGTGTTCAGAACATAACAGCAAAAGAGAACAAGCTCAAAAACAATATTCTCTTAATTTAAAAATGTTACAAGAAAATTATGAGAAGGAAAAGTTGTCTTCAAAAAGGAGTCATGCAGAAAAACTCTTAAAATTGCAGTCCTTTCATGAAAAAGAAGTTGATTCCATAAAGGAGGAAAATTTGCTCAAACAGGAAAAATTAAAGAAGGAAATAGCTGATAAAGATGCAGAATATCAACAAGAATTAACATCTTTGAAAAACAAATATGAAATGCTTTTAAAACAAAAAGAAGAAATGTTCACCACTGAAAATGAGATGTTAAAAATAAAACTGGTGAAAATAATATTAGAAAAAGATTCCCAGCTGGATCATATCAGTTCTGAAATGGCACTCAATTTCCAAAATTTGAGAAATAAGTGCAGGATAAATGTCAAGCGGCTCAAAGATAAGCACAAAGCTGATTTAGATAAACTAGTGAAAGTGTGCAAACACGAACTAATAAGAGTTATGAGAAATGAAGGAAATGCAAAGCGATATGAGAACGAAATGCCAACCTCAAGTGGTGATCGACCAGACTCACAAAAATCTATTAAATTTCATAAATATTAAAAAAAATAAACAATTTAATTTTATATTCTTCTAACATACAATAGCTGAATTATTCCTCTGCAAATTGATATGTTTGTAGGTTTTCAAACTTTCATCTTTGCTAGATACCTTAGTAAATACGATTGAAATGTGTGTGGCCAATGTGCTGCTTTTCTCATGTTCTTCTTAAATTATTCTTTCAACCTTTATTGTTTTCTTTTTATCCTCTTGGCATAGAATTTATTTTGATCTAATAATAAAAAGCATTGTAAAAATTAAACATACAACAATCAATGGTATAAACATAACACATGTTTAACATAAGTTCAAATGGCCAGTTAAAAAAATACAATTAATTTATGTGCAATTAAATATAATTATACAATCTTGATATATTTATACTATTTTTAAATTTTTTACTAGATGTTAAAATGAGAAATAAATAGTAGGAGTTAAGAATAAATAGAATATTTTTGCAAAATCTAATTTTTGTGTTGATCCCTTTGAAGTTAAGCTTTTTTTTCTTCAGCCCGGGGTTCACAACAACAAAAGTCATATCAACCCCCAAGGTGTTGTGTTTTTGAAAAAAAGCCCCAAGCCTGTTTGGTTTGAATGCAGGGCCACCGAATTCGAACCCAGGACCTTTAACTTACTGTGATGAGTGCCATGTCAATGATGACTGTTAAGCTGTAGTTGTGATATTATGTTGTTTCCAAAGGAAATTATTATAATTATTGCTAATAGATGTAATGATTTTATTTAAATTTTTTTATTCAAAAAATAAAACATGCATTTATATGAAAAACATTTTACTTAAATAACAATTTTTTGAATAGAATTTATTGATCACATCTGTCATACTACCCATATGTTGGTTACAATCGTTTAATTTTTTGTTTTGTTAAAGTAGTGGGGAACATTTTTTTAGGGCTAAACAAATTTAATCAATAGTAAGGATAAACAAAAACAATTGTTAGCATAAAATGTCTTTCCTAACATTCCATGAGAAAATTTCCCAACGAAAAAGGCGATGTTCAGGTAAAAAGAGCCTCGGACGATTGAAGAATGTCTCCTCGTGCACTGATCCCAGGGCTTGGAGTATGGATCCGAGAAAGTGCAGAGAATATTTCTTGGAAACATTTAATTATGTATCGGTGAGCGAATTTGAGATTTGATTAATCGAACGCGTTAGCAGGAATAGCCTTTACACTTTGGATTTTTTTTCCAGTCAAGCTCGAGCACCGAAGATGCAAGCATAGCAGGCTGTCGTATCAATGCAAAGACACTATCAAAACGAAAAGTACGCTCAGTTGAAAACTTGGTATGCATAATATCACACAATAAAAAGATTATCAGAAATTGGTCTAATTACCATTTTTCTCATTTAGGTTCTTGATGGAGATGTTGAAAATCTTAAATCTAAATTAAACGATGCTGATGAAAAAATTGAGGAACTAAAAACAGCAAATGTGAGACAAAATCTGATACATTATGTGCCACCTTTTTAGAATTTTATTTTTTACAAAGTTCAATTTAATCTTTGAGAGAATCTGATTTTGCGTGGGAAGGAAAACTCTAGGATTGTTATGAAAAGATACTTTTGATTTTTCTTTTTAACCAGAGAAACATATGTGTTATATTTTTTGTACCATTCAGTTTAATTTAGAAATAACGTGAAGCTTTTATTAGGAAAATTCAAATGTAATAACTTTTTTAATGCAGAAAATAATGAAGGATTTGGAAAATTAATAAAACACCATTTATTTAAGTTATATCGATTATTTGCAAATTGGAAGAAAATATAGATTAATATAGAAAAAATGAGATGAGAGTTTAAATAAATGAAATAAAACAATTAATTAAGGTTTTTAGTCGAGATAAAAAAGTCAATGGCACAAGCGGGATTCGAACCCTAGATACGCCGCTGCTCTACCACTTGAGCTATTGTGACCTCGATCCACTAGTGAATTTAATGAAATAAAACATTTTAAAATTACTGATCCATAGTATACAAACTTACACACAAACTCACACTATAAAATATATTTCTTTCATAGGTAAATTTGCAAAATAATAATTCAAAATGTACTGTGGAACTGAACAATCTAAGAGCTTTGGTGAAAGATTTGCAAGAGCAAATGCTAGATTTGGAATCCTTAAAAACAGAAAATTTGAATTTACGTTCTGAAGTGGGTACAGATGTCAAGGCTCAGCTATTAAAAGCTGAGGATGAAATATTACATTTAAACAGAGAATTAGATATATTTCATGAAATGAAGGCAAAGGTGAGGACTGTTACTGTGATATAATTAATTCAAGTAGTTTGTGAAAATTAATTTTAAAAAAAATTCTTTTTAGTATGCTGACTTGAGACAAGCTCATGAAACGCTCAAAACTGAGCACACTTCTTTGAATCGAACTCTTGTAACCCTGAATGAAGACAAATCTAAGCTCACCCTTCAATTCAACAAGCTAAAAGAAGAACTGATCAATTGGAAAACTAGGGCTCAAGATATTTCCACAGCAATTTGTGAGAAAAATGTGTTAAAAGAAAAATTACAAAACAAGGAAAAGAAGATTTCTCAACTCTGTGAAAGCATTAGGATTCAAGAAATTCGCATAGAAGAACTAAATCGTAACTTGGCAAGAGTGACTTCTGATTTTGAACGTAAACAGGTAAATTGAAAAAAAAAATTGATTTTCTAAAACCTCAGTTATTCAGTATATTTATTATTTTAGCAATTGATGACAAAATACATTGAAGATTTACAGTGCCAAGTAAATTTCAAAACGATAAAAGTGACTGATCTAGAATCAAAGCTGGCGATGACTGAGAGGCTTGTTGTTGAACTCGAAGCTTTAAGAGAACAGTTTCGTGTTACAAACGCAGATTTGAGTGAAAATATTCAAGTATACAAGAAACAGTTCATGAATGTGCTTACTGGCTCAAATAGAATGGTGGAAATGGTAGAAAAACTACAGAAAGAATTGGAAGAAAAAGAAAAGGAATTAGAAAAGATCAAATTATTCCCACAGAATCCAAAAACTATGGTTTACTTTTCACAAATAAACACGGTTCTTGATTCTTCCAGGCAGTCGATAGGAAAAGGAGACCCTGAGAAAATGAAGGACACCCTACTAACAATAAAAAACATTATTAACAATTTAAAAAAAGATATGTGGGGGACTTGTGATATATCAATGATAACTGAATTTTCAAATTCGATCATTCAAACAGAATTTTTGAAAGAGGATAATTCAACTCAGGTCGAAATAAATCAAATTAGTACATTGTCACAGACCAATTATCCTGATGAGTATGTTATAAAATATGATGAAGCTCAAAAAGAACTTGATAAAATGACAGAAATAAACCAATCTCTCACTTTAAGTAATGAAGAGCAAAAGAATGTTGCAGAAACCCTTGAGAAAAAAATTAATGAAACTTCAGAAGCTCTCGAAAAGAAAAATGCTATGGTCATCCAACTGACAAGTAATAATAATCAGTTATGTGATAATATAATCATGCTAAATGAAAAGCTTAAAACTTCTGATGAACTTTTGCAAGATGCCCTAATTCAATTGGAATTAGATATGAAAACGAGAGAAGCATCCGATGAACAAGTGGAAAACGTACTCAAATCAACAATTAATGAATATGACACGTATGTACAGGTTCTTCAGTCTTGCTTGGAATACAAACAAAATAATTTGGATTTGGTATGTACCATTTTGGAAAACGGAGAATACAGTACTAATGAAATCGTGGAAATAAACAATTTGAAGATTGAAATAGAAAACTTAACTAAACACTTGGAACAAGAGAAAGCGAACACAGACCAGCAAAGAGAAGAAGTAAAATGTTTACTTCAACAACTTTCTGAAAAAAATGATTACATCGATGCAGTTGATAGTAAACTTGCTAAAACCGAATTAGTTCTGAATGATTTAGTTAAAAATTTGGATCTAACTAAGTCTGTTGAATGTAATGGATTGAATAGTTCTGAAAACGATCAGTCTAATCAAGTTGGCATACAGCTAACAATGATAATAAATCGTTACAAACAAGAATTAACTGCTCAATTAGAAATAAAAGATCGTTTAACTAAAGAACAGCTTTCCAAGAAGAGATTGAAACATTTTCTTAAAATTAATCATAGGCAAAGGAATGACATGAGAGCAAAGATATTACAAATGAATAGCAACATGAAGAAGGTCAAGAAAATTATTCATGGTCTAAGAAATCGCTTGGGGCTTTCTGAAAAACTTATCGAAGAATTACAAGTGATTTCAGATCTTTTGTCTTCTGAAAACAACTGCTTAAAGAGGAACAATACTGACTTGATAGAGGAAATTGGTGGTCTTAAAGTCAAAATATCCCAGTTGGAATCAAGTCTTAAAGCCCAGGAAAACAATATCGGCTTAACAGTGCAAAACAAAAGAAAAATGGAAAAGATCATAGTAAGCCTTATGAAAAAGTTAGCAAAGTACAAGCATTTGTTTGATAAAAACAAAAGTTCAAAAGGTACGATGACAAATGAATACTACCTGAAGACTGTAGCTCAGAGAGATCATCTGAACACAGAGATTGATGTTCTCAGGGCAGAAAATCAGACCCTCTCTACCACAATTTCTAAGTTAAAGGAACGTATTACCACGTTATTTGATATTCCACAGAAAGAGAGCCAAACCGTCGAACTTCAAGTCAACATAAAAGAAGAACTCCCCGATGAGGAAAAAGAAATTTTATTTAAAAATGTTAAGAACCACTATGAAGCTATACTTAAAGCATTACAAACTGAACACAACACTGAGAAGGAACAATCACAAAAACAGTATCTTAATAATTTGAAAATGCTAAAAGATACTTATGAAAGAGATATGAATACACTTAAAAAAACACATGCTGAAAATCTAGCTAAATTACAAACTTTACACGAGGAAGAAATGCTGAGTTTAAAAGAAAATCTAGCAAAGGAAAAAGAAAAACAAACTGAGGATAAAACTATTCTAGAGCAATTGCACAAAGAAGAATTAGATGCGATGAAATCCAAATTTGAATTGTTAATATCTCAAAAAGAAGACCTGTTTAAAGATGAAAAAGAGATGTTAATGACTCAACTTTCAAAATCAGTTTTAGAAAAGAATACTCTAATAGAAAAACTCAACTCAGATATGACATTAAGTTGTAAGAAATATAAAAACAAATGCAAAGACAACTTAAAGAAATTAAAAGAAAAGCATAGACTTGATGTGGAAAACTTAGTTCAGAAGTTCAAAACCGAGGTGAAACATTTTATTGCAAAAGAAGATGAAGCAAAGAAATTAGCTCAGAGGGAAAAAGAGATTCAGTGTGTTTTAGAATATGCAGATAAGGAAAGCTTTATCACCCCTGAGGAAGGTAAGATGGGCAGAACTTCTATTAGCTCCGTTAGACTTTTCTGAAATGAAACCAAAGTGAAAATTTTCAATTATTTTTAGTCACAATGAATGATAAATTTACTGAGATTGATAACTGTGATGGAAAAAACATTGAATATCTGCCTATATGTTCAGAGACATCCGAACTTAAAGTAGAAGAAGAAATCATTGTAGATTTGAATAAGGTACAGTACACATACAATTTATTTGCTAAAATGCAATTCAATTTTTCCTTATTCAATTTTTTTTGCAGCAAGATGTCAATAATGGTCAACCAATTTATGAGAAAAACTCTTTTGGGAGAAATATGCTTACAGTAGGTGACACAACAATTGCACTGGTTCCAGATGCAAGTATGTATGCAGAACAGATTGCTCAACTAGAAGCTGAACTAGCATTGCACAAACGAGAATTTTCTGTAAAAGGTACTTTTGTGTTATAATTAATAATGAATTTTGGAATGTAGTAATCATTTAACAGCTTCATCGTATGAGAAAATGATCCGTCGGGAGCAAATGAAGACGATGGAGCTGAAACATCAATATGAACTGGAACTCGAGCATAGTGCTAAGGTTCATTGCAGGCTTGGTGCACAATACAACAAAGCTGAAGAATTGGAACTAGAAAATAGAATGCTAATACAAAAGTTAAACATGTATGAGTCACAACTTAGGGAAATGGAGTAAGTTATCAATTAAATTTAAATGGTTGTAATAAAATCTGCTATATTTGTATCTTTTTAAATGAAATCATTAAAGAAACCACTTGGAAAAGGAAAAGGATAAGACATTTTCAATGAAGGCAGAGCTAGCAAAACTAAAAGCTGAGTCAAAAGGTTCCTACCAACTTGAGATGTCACTGAATGTAATGCTTAAGAAAAAAACAACAACATATTTTTAGTAAATAATTAACTTTATTACTCTTATATGACACTAGAGGCTGAAAAAGAAAATTGAACAAGCTGTACAGTGTGAAAAACGCTTAAACGAGGAACTCCGAAAGGAAACTCAAAAAGAAAGAAGCATGGAAAATAAAATAGTCGAAATATTTGAATTGAATCAAATAAATGTAAGTCAAATGTACATTAAGCAAAATTCCAATATTATTAAAAAATAATTTGTTAGAGTTGTAATTTTGCTGATGTTTTTAACACCTTTAGTAATTATGAATTATTTTTTATGACCAGTGACAAGTTAATTAATCATATCTAATAAATTTTAAGATAATTTATATATTCTCTAAAAAGAATTAGTAAGATTAAAGAAAAGTGATACACTTTTGTTTTCCCGATAAAATTGTTGACACCAAAACACCTGAATTTAACTGGTTATGTTTCAGAGGACCAAATCTGAAGTTGAAGAGAAAGTCATAAGAATACAGACATGTGGGGTTCTTCAATATGGGACGCAACTTTAAAAGATGAAATCGCATAATAAAGAATATTATCAAAATTCCAGTGATGACAGATGTGGTTAAATTGGGAAAAAAAACCAGTCTGGGAACCAATTGTACTCCAATTATAATGACTATTTTATTATGTATTTATTTTTTTGTTATTATAATTATATATAGTTTGTAACGGCTTGAAGTGCTCTCTTGAAATATTAATATTGGAGTCATTTATTTGAGATGTTATCAAAGAGCCATTATTCTAAATTAATGTTAACAAATTAATTTCTAAAATAAGTTTTTAATTATGTATTTAATGTAATATTGGTATTGTTTTTGGTCAGAGTGGTTACTAATAGGTAAAGTGTTGTGATAGCGGTATTTTGTATATGGGAATTAATTTTTCTTCATGTCTTCATTATTACCTGAATCATTAGATGTAGCATCATTAGAATTAGTCTTATTATTTAATTTATTAATTTCCTTAGTGGTTGCTTTTTCCTTTGTCTCTTCCTTTTTCTCATTTTCAACATCTTCACTTTCTTCTTCAGTTTCCTGTGACACTTGAGACTCAGGAATTTTGAGCTTTAATCCTGTCCATGGGTCTTTACTAGGAGATTCATTTTCCATTTCGGCATCTTGATCATCCAGGGCTTTTTTAATTCTTTTTGATTTTTGTTTTTCATTAAATTCACCTTCTACAGATTCTCTCGGTTTTAAACCAGCCAACTCATCTACACTGGTAAAAATCAGGCCTATATTTTCACGCGAACCTAGCACAGACCTTGCATTATCCTTTTCATCCTGTGCTCGTGATATTTTATGAATGCTTTTATCCTTGACGCCTGCGATATTTGGCTCTACAATGATAATATGTCTGGGTTTTTTAATGACTGAACTATCTGATATAATAGTTTCTGCATTTTTAAGTATTTTATTAAGAGTCTCTCGTTGTTTTTGGAGTTGCTTTAAGTCTTTGCTCGATTTTGATTTCACTATCAATTTCTCTTGAAGTAGTTGTAAATTTTCAATGTCTTTTGCAGTAGGCTGTTCTTTCATAAATGTAGCAATCATTTCTTCCTTGCTTCGTTGGATTAACCGATTTTCAAGAAATTCGATTCTTCTTATAAGTTCGGCTTTCTCTTTTCTCGATTCCAACAGTTTTCTTGAAACCAATTTGACTTTTTTCTCAACCTTTAGAATTTGCTGCTCGATTTCTTCAAGTTTGAATATATTCAATGAGTCATCGGGTGGCAACTTGAAAGAGGGCTGTCTGCACAGAATGGGACCTTTGTCATGCTGTTTCTCTAAAACTTGAATCATGGACAAAAACGCCAATTGAGCATTGAAACTACCCAACTGTTGGATTTTTTTGTCTTCTTCTTGTTTGGATATTCTTATAACTGTGGGAGTGCATTCACTTAAAGAGGACCTTTCTTCTTCAGAGGGAACCTGTTACGATAAACAATACAAAATATTTAGAAAAGTAAAATCACAATACAAAACACAAGAGGCAAATCGAATGCATATCAGCATAATTGATTGATGTAATGAAATGATTATTTTCAGTTTTGAAAGTTGGCTATATATTTTTTGTGCGGCAATTAGCTTTTTATTAATTATTTTCGAATTTTTAAATAAATATCTGATTTACAAAGTTAATAATTTTTAACACCACTAACAAAATTTCTTTTATTAACAAATTTTCAAATTATGCAGAATCATCAGTAATAAAATTATGGCTTCGTTAATAAAAAAACATTTAAAAATTTAATGGTGGGTTTTGCTGTACATTCTTGTCTAATTATTCAGAAATCGTGAGATGCGGTCTGGTGTGATTTAGGTTTCAGAAAAACATTTTCTTTATCATGCCAACGTTTCGATCTTTAAATTCACTATTTTTCATGGTCCGCTTGACCAATTAATATCATTCAATTAATTAAGGTTTTTTATTTCAACTTAAAACCTTAATTAATTTTTCGATCTTTATTGAGATCATATTCAGGGCCTGGGATTTACAAACATTGTTTACATTTAACAAATACATGTAGGTTGTGGAAAAAAGTAAATTTATACAATGCAAAAAAATATATTTTTTATATTCAACCAAAGTATTTCTACTCACTCAAAGCGTTTGTTTTCTGCGTAAAAAAATATTTCTTTGCATTTTATAAATTCACTTTTTTCAACATCCTACATGTATTTGTTAAATGTAAACAATGTTTGTAAATCCCAGGCCCTGAAGATGATCTCAATAATGATCGTTGGCACGATAAAGTTTTTTGAAACCTACATCACACCAGACCGCAACTCACGATTTCTGAATAAGCATCGACTAACGGTCACTAATCACCACACATTCTTGTCTAACAAGAAATAAGCGTCTCCCCCTTCAAATGAAATTTTGTCAGTAAATATTATATACATTAGCACTGTATGGGTATATTGAATAAATTTAGGAATAGGTTTTATCTCTAGTTCAATATATTTTGGTATATAATAATTACATACACTGAAACATTAGATATTGAAAATATAGGAAAAAAACAGCTAAAACTGTTACCAAAATATCATAAATAATGAATTTAAACCATATAAATCATACATTATTAATTATTTCTTTCTGTTCTGATTGTCTCACAGAGGTTGTTTCGAGAATTTCTGAGTTAGTGTCCACGCCTTTACTCATTTCAACCAGATTGCTTATTTCTGATTTTAAATCCTTTATTTTTTTCTTCAAAATTGCTTGACTCTCTGCCATTTCATAAATTTTTAATTAGGATAATTACTTTAGATGTTGGTTGTCCATAATGCATGAAGTGATCTACAAAATAGTCCAATTAACATGAAATAATTTTAAACAGTTTACTTCAAACAGTTATTTCAATTGTTAAAATTAACTATTTACCAAAGTATTTTATCTTGTTGATTTTTTTCAATGTGTGAGGTGTGTTGGATAACCAAGTCTCATAATCACAAGTAGTTGTTTTTACTGAATTCCTTATTTAAAATCATGTGATCCAAATAGATTTTCCTATTAGCCAGAAAAGAGTTAGTTCGAATTTAGCTTACAGTCTTAGGTTTTATTAAATGCCTTTGAATCATAAATTGAAACGATAATTTTGACAACAATCTCCTCACTTTACAGAGGTTTTCATTTATCTCATGATCAACTTGTTGTCGTTAATTTTGTTAATTAGTATTAATAAAAAATGTTGAACATTCATAAACAAAGTTTATTAAGGACAATAACATTTGAAACAATTTTTCTATTTTATTTCATCCGCTTTCTCATTTTCCCAACTTTCCTCTTCAACTGAATGGTTCGAGCTTTTTTGTTTGGGGGACTTTTCATGCAATTTTGTATTTGAGGCTGACTGATCAAGCGATTGATCACTACAAGACTCACATTCAGTCTCTGACGGTAAAGAACTGCACTGGTTTTTCGTTAGTTGGGAATGTTGACTGTCGACGGCAAAGACAGGGACGTTTGGCTTCTTGGAATAGATGATGCGCGTTGATTCACTGATACTGGGCATACTAAGAGCTGTTTTGCCAGCCAGCATACGCCGCAACCACTTCTGCTTTGCCACAGGGTCCAGTGGTATAGCCTGTGTTTCCGGTGAAGTTTCCCTCGCATCTCTATGCAACCGTGGTTTGAGAACTTTTTTTTCTGTAGTTGCAACTTTTTCATTTTGATTCTCTGCACATGTGTTTACGGCCTGGGCAGTTTCAATGTTTACATTTGGCTCCAGCGTCTTTTCATTTTCCATTAATTCTCTTGTGTCTGTGATTAAATTGATTAGGTTTAATTTTGACTTTTCGCTTATGTCCTTTTGAAATTGTGATATTTTTTTGAAATCCTCTTCAACTTTGAGTTCTTTCAAGTGCATAAGTTGTATCTCCATATTTCCTATTCTTTTCATCAAATCGGCCTTTTCTCTGCTCGATTCCTTCAAACGTTTTGAAATAGCGAAAAGCCTTTGTTTTATCTGACGGATTTTTGAAACCTTTAATTCAAGACCCGAGAAACTCATTTCATTACTGTCAAACGCTTCGTATGAAGATTCGTTAAATTCTTCTGCCGGGGCCTTTTCACTTTTCTCATCGTTATTTGAATTCAGAGAAGAATTAAAAGTGGTATTCAGAGTGGTAGTCAACTGACTAGTGTCTTGAAAGTCCATTTTACCTTCATTGGAGAACAACCTAACCAAAAACAAAATTTTTCACTTAGTTCAATTGAAATTATTAATGGTATTTTTCAGCATTTACCAATTGACAAATATTTATGTAAACAGTTTTTATTGTGTGTAAAAAATGTAATTTTAGTAAGATAAATCGAAATCCAGATAACTTTTTAGTTCTGAAGTATTATTTTATTGAGTACTCAAGTCTTTTGTACACTATAATCTTAGTAAAGTGCCATAAAGCAGTTAGTTTCATGCTTTATATGTGAGGTATTTTCTCACAGAATATTTAAACTTTTATGTTTTAAGTTTTCATTTCATATTCCATTTAGTCTACAAATAAAATTGATTAACAAGCAATGAATTTATAGCTTATTCATGGCGTTCAGAGACATAACCTAGAATGGCACTGTAGAAAACAATCAAAATACTATCTTTTGTAACATTATAATTAAAGTCAGTTAGTGGAAGAAAGAGCACCCAATAATAAATTTTATAACTACATAGTCATTTTTATAACCAAATTTCAGAATTAAAAACACTGAAAGCATGATTTGGCTAATTTAAGTAATAATCTTTGCAACTCACTGAGAAGAGAAGTAATTTTTAAATGAAAATTCTGTTTTAAATTTTATTCTGTAAAGTGAGGAAAGAAGTTTCATCTAGGAATGAAAATATACACCAAAACTGACATCCAATATTTGAAGGATGTATATTACAAACTAATAAAAATCTGACATGGGCAATTTACAAAAAAAAATCAAATTCTAGTCTATTTTTTCCTAATGGTTATTTGTCCATGAAGTAATTTTTAAAAAATTAATTATTTTCAAAAGGAACGACCATTTTATTTAAGAAGTGAGAAAAGTCGTCACAGCTTACCCTAATAAATTATGGTTATGCGTGTAATATGTTACACATAAAATGCTTGCATTGGAATGTTCAGAAATTAAAAAATGTAATAGCTACATTATGAGGCATTTAATCAAAATTTATTACTGTTTAGTTATAGACGAGAAGAATCGTAATACTAATTACGCACTGACGAGTTCATTTTGAATTAATTAATCACCAGTGATGTGATCAAAAAATATATATTCAACTATAAACCAAGACAATAAATTTAGAATAATATGTTTACTCTAATAACATTAGCTTTTTATATTGCAAAATTTCTGTTGTCTGAGGAATGATGAACCTGTAATTTGGTCTTTACTGATCAATTTAGTCTACCTCTCTGGGCTGGTCTGTCAGACGTGTTTCGGCACTGCCATTTTCGGTGATAGGCTCATCTTTCAATTTTCGGCTGGTCAGGGTATCAGCAAGATGAGGCACCGTCATAGACCCAACACCGAATTTGTCGAGAAGCTGAAACACGTCTGACCGAGTCTAAAGTTAAAAACCACCACTTATCACTGCATTAATCAGTTCTTTATGAGAACAGTTAAGAATCATTCTTTGTTAAGGAAATTTTGTCTAGAATAATATTTTCATTCATAATTGGGTGTAAAAAATGGCAGTTCATTTTGAAAATATAATTATTTTGAATAGTTGGGGCAAGACTCTTACTGGAAACATCACAGTATTATTCGGTTAATTAAATAAAAAAACTTCAACAGATTTGGTCATTGTTATCCCCTTTATGCTGGGCTTTGCACGAAGCCTAGAAAACAAAAGTTCCAATGTTAAAAACAAAATAATAATTGAAAACTTTCCTATACAAATATGCTGATTTATTAAAGAAATAAAGAAGCTAAACGACGTCTGTACAACGATTGGGTCGAAAGGTAGTCATAACATGCAATTTCAAGGTGTAAAGTTATAAAGTTACCTAATAGTTCTCGTGGGAATTAATCCAATTCATCAAGAGCGGTGTTATCGAGTATCCTGGTAAGGTTTCGGGAGTAAAATTTTAAGTAGCACTGAGGTAAAAATAAAATTTTGAACCGAGAAAGTAAAAAAAAAAACTACCCTACAATTCATGCACCTGCATTCTACAGCTGTCTACAAACATGTGGTAAAAGAAATTCACTTCTAAGCTAAAAGAACTCTGATGAATTGAGTCCGATTAATGATTTGAAACGATTTTCTAGTCTAGGAAAAGAATAGACAATCCCCGAATGGAATTATTAGTTATACGTCTATTTTATTTTGAATGGAATTTACTGTTTTGATAGTTGGGCAAGGGTCATTTTCTCCCTGTATGCTATCGAGACTACTAATACAACCTTTTTCTTGTAATTTCCGTTATACATCATAGAAATCTATAACATCGTACTTCCACCCCAAGAAAAAGAGACCGAAGCCGAAAAATAAATTACGAGGCTGTGTGTGGTGGTTAGTGACCGTTAATCGACAATTATTCGGAAATCGTGAGATGTGGTCTGGTGCGATGTAGGTTTCAGAAAATTTTTTCTTTATCGTGAAAACGTTTCGATCTTTATTGAGATCATCTTCAGGGCCTGGGACTTACAAACATTGTTTACATTTAACAAATACATGTAGGATGTGGAAAAAAGTGAATTTATACAATGCAAAATATATTTTTTATATTCAATCAAAGTATTTCTACTCACTCAAAGTGTTTGTCTTCTGTGTAATTGTGCCATTCTTAAGTGTCGTGTAGAGAGTGCAAGTGAGATATTGCTGTTTTGCGTTTATATATGTTGGATTTTGAAATTTGATGAAGTTTAGGTACTTGCTTATTCAACACCCTTGCGTGGTTCAGGACATTTTTAACTTAGATCAAGTCTGTACGTCCATACTAAGTTTTAATTTCGAGATAAATATCAACATAGCCTCGTAATTATTCAGAAATTGTGAGATGCGGTCTGGTGTGATGTAGGTTTCAGAAAAACATTTTCTTTATCTTCTTAGAAAAGATTTCTATACCGACTTCCTTCCCTACCCATTTCAAAATCCAACATATATAAACACAAAACAACAATAACTCACTGGCACTCTCGACACGACACGTAAGAATGGCACAATTACACAGAAGACAAACTCTTTGCGTGAGTAGAAATACTTTGATTGAATATAAAAAATATATTTTGCATTGTATAAATTCACTTTTTTCCACATCCTAAATGTAATTGTTATATGTAAACAATGTTTGTAAATCCCAGGCCCTGAAGATGATCTCAATAAAGATCGAAACGTTGGCACGATAAAGAAAATGTTTTTCTGAAACCTACATCGCACCAGACCGCATCTCACGATTTCCGAATAATTACGAGGCAATGTTGCTATTTTTAGTATGGACGTACAGACTTGATCTAAATTAAAAATGTCCTGAACCACGCAAGGGTGTTGAATAAGCAAGTACCTAAACTTCATCAAATTTTACCAACCGTGTTTTAACGACAAGTTTTTCCAAAGTATTTTGATGTCAACTTGGCCTTTCATTGCAAAACTATCTTTCAAACAACTACAAAAAACGATGCTTTACATTTATTTACTATTTCATTATAACATTAAGACGTAAATATTATTCTTGCACCAATGGTTTATTTATGAAACAATCGTACAATGAAATTAGTATTAGTAGATTGCCGCATACTCAGAATTAATTATTTCATATGTCTAATTTTACAATTTGCCTGTGGGATGAAGAACTGAGGCGTACTTATATTACAAAACTTATTTTATTATAGATAAAACATTTTTCCTTAGCAAATCACCTCTCATAAGTCTGTTTACGATTCGCCTCCAAGCTAAGCATATTTGTCTCCCTCCTCGGTTGACAAATTGTTCCCTGATATCAGGTCGCGCCTTGGCTCTTCTGTTTAATATGCTGTCTCCGATTTTTCGGGAAAATGCATCGACAAATCTCCATGTAATGATGGCACACGTGAACGATATGTTCACTGGCGTAAAGGCATAACGACAGGATTAACCCAGTTTTGGGGCCGGCCCGTCGATCCTTTATCCAGTGTTATTTACCACTACTGCAAAAAGTCAAACTGTGACTAAACTCACATTTTCACCTTCAATATGTTTTTTCTATTTTATTTTAAGATTTAAAACATCATTAGTATTGTGGTTAACTTGTAGTTCGGTTTCCGATCATTTTCACCTGCCTATCCTTCGTTTTGGTCTGTCACACGTGTTTCGGTTTCTAGACATCATCAGTGGTCGTTTTGTATTACATGTCATAAAGATCGGTTTCTGACGCAAAATTAAATTGTTTCAGAAACACCAATGAAGATTGCGAGAAGGCAACACTGCTGAGAGGCCCAAACGGCGAGCATAGGGTGGCAAAAGTGATCAGAAACGACCAAACTGCTTAGAATTTTGTTATAACATTTAATTAGTATTTTGAATATTTACTCCAAGCTCTAGAAATAAAAGTGTATAAACTTTTATCTATATTTATTTAATTTGTTTTCCATTCTGACTTCGAATTATCATTAACATCGATTCACCTTTACCATATCTAATATTTTTAAGTCACAAGGCCCCAGTTTTACCTCTGGTATAAAGCCAACGTTTGATCTGTGAATTTGATGATGATTATACGCTTAATGAGCTGACTGTGAGGTGATTTTAAAAATCCGAAAGCGGCGGTACGAGCCTCAAAAATGATGACCATACAAAGAATCATCAATTGTCGAAAGATTTAATTAATTGAACTTCACCACTTAAGTTATGATAAGGGAGCAGGGCAAGCAGAAACGTTCTACAAGAGCTCATCTAGCAGCTCAACTTACCAGGAAATAGTCACCAGCGGTAAAATGTTACAGCCGACGCATCATGACAGAGGATAACCGAGGACAGTCAGCTTTACTGAAACAAACGTGCTCTGTTTTTACGCTGCTGAAGTAGTTATTCAAAATGAAAATGTGAAACGCTTCTGAGAGACCAAATCAGTGAGGATAGGCAGTCCAAAAATGTAAAATCACCGCGTACCCCTCAAGAAAATATCTCCCCAAAATTTTCCTGTAGAGTAGGCTTAGTTTATTTATTTACGGATCGAAATCCTCTATAAAAAAGACATTTTACAATAACAAAAAATATAAATAATATATGTAAAAATACAAATAATATATATAAAAAGAATAAGGACCATGGTAATAATATAAATGGTAAATATAAATGATAAATATAAAAATACAATTAAAGAGTAAAAACTGAACAGCAAAAATGAAAGACATAATTACTAACCAAATAAGGCAGAGGAAACAAAATAAAGCTGAAGGACTATTGAAACTACAATAATTAGGTACATATTTAATGAAAATAATGCTCTTTGTAAATATATAATAAGACTAGAGTGCAAGAATTAGTTGAACCAGTAAATGAAGTAAATTGTAATAATTTTGTATAGTATAAAATATAAAAGCATTCAACTAAGGTTGTAGGATAAGGTTTTTCATAGATTGCACAGAACTATTGAAGAAGTCAATGCTATTGCAGATGTTGTTTCTCTTGATCATCATTCTGTGTAGAGGAGAGGAGAGCATGTAGTTAGAGCTTTGGAATTCAATATAAAATAATTTATAGGTTTTAAGAGAGTACGAAGGGACACGTTGCTGTAGTTGAGAGAGGAGATAAGGACTATTAATGATATTGTTTAATAATTTAAATACAAAAACAATATCAAAGTAATCCCTTCTTAGTGCCAGTTCGAAAAGTTTAAATTCAGAGCGGATTCCGGGATAGGCAGAATTCGGAGGAAGATTGAGTTTGTAGGAAAGTTTTTTTAAAAATTTGTTTTGTACAGATTGAAGAATTTTTTGATAATTTAGATAGAATGGGTTCCAAACAGCGTAGCCCATTCTAGTATGGGTTGTACTAAAGTTGTATAAAGATGGACAAAACATAGAGGATTTTTAAATTCATAGGTGTTTCGGAGCTTGAAACCTAGCATCTTCATAGATCTATTTTTTATTGAAGAAATATGTTCTTTAAACTTGAGCTTTTGATCAAAAAGTACACCAAGATCCTTTACGACCTCAACTCGCGTTAAAAGAGCATCATGGAGAGTATAGAGATAAATAAAAGGTTGTTTCTTATGAGAGAATGTAATTGTGTAGCATTTGGAAACATTAAGAGCAAGTTTGTTATTAGAGCACCAGGTTTAGCACATTATTGATAGAATTTTGTAATTGTAAGCAATCGGAAGGGGAAGTGATTATGGAATAGATTTTCAAATCATCAGCAAATAATAAAAATTGAGCAGAAGGAAGAAAGTTTCGTTAAGAAGTTTAATAGGAAGTACATTTTGTTTCGCAACAAGTTGTTGCGTCAATTGTCATCTGCGACAGAGGATCAGATCAATCAATCATCAGATCAATATCAGCCTACAAGGAGTAGTCAATTTGATAAAAACAACATGCTACAATTATTTTGGTATGATGTGGGATCAAACACATAAACATATATGAGCTATATCAAGCAAGCCTACATACTTTTACTGTTCGAAATGGATAGACACATGATTCTACACATCCACCTTGCAGTACTTAGAAGACCTGCCCATGTTTCACTTATGTTATAAAGGAATTATTCAGAAATCGTGAGATGCGGTCTGGTGTGATGTAGGTTTCAGAAAAACATTTTCTTTATCGTGCCAACGTTTCGATATTTATTGAGATCATCTTCAGGCCTCAGTGTTTGTCTTCTGTGTAATTGTGCCATTACCCGTGAGAGTGCCCGTTGGCACGATAAAGAAAATGTTTTTCTGAATCCTACTTCACACCAGACCGCATCTCACGATTTCTGAATAATTATCGATTAACGGACACTAATCACCACATATGTTATTAAGTTTGATTTCAAACACATTAAATTTGTCAATACTTAGTCTTAACTGGACCAAATTTTTGTACTTAAATAAAAATTTGATCGTTACTGAACAGTTTGGTAAGATGGTTTCGGCATTATGCATCTTCAGTGGGTCAGTGTAATTTACCGAAAGAATAATTTATGAATCGGCCGAAAGAACGATAACGACTAATATCAGGTTTATCACCCCGCAGAATACACTGTGCAATCTTAAATAAATGAATATTAATATTCCGAG